TTCCCCTCAATCCTTATTACATGAATTTAATTCCTGTGTCGGGGGCGCCCCCCCGTTCACTGGTCGGGGACGCACTGACATTCCTCGTTCCATAAGAACATTAGGATACAGTTTCTGCATGTTTTCGTGTGAGGCCTCGTCCATCTGACCAACCCTTCAGTAACATTCCTCGTGTGAGGGTGTGTGATGACAAACCGGCTACATCCCGCCTGTTTGTGCCCAAGTACCAGCACGCCCAAAGAGCTCGCCACCTCACCAAATATGGCCCCACAAGACAAAAGACCAAAGCGGTATTTTCCCTGATGTTGCATCCTTGTTTTTCTTGATGAGGTTTGTTTTTTTATTTCTTAGATAGCCATTGTTCCTCGCAAAACTGCCTGCAGGCGCATCACAAGGGAGACACACAGATTTCTTTGTGCGGTTCTCTTTCCCCCACATTTGTTTGTTTCTTGCTAGTTTTCTCTTAGTCTAATAGTTTAGAAAATCTTATTTAAGGTAGCATTTCTACATCAGGGATCAGAATCAGAGGTACCCAATCACCTTTTTTCCTCTGAAATGTTATTAAATTTACGTATTCTCTCCTAACTACGTGCGCTCGTCCCTCTTTTTACCGTCTCCCTTTTCAAAAGCAATTCGCAAGGACATCCCAAGCATTTTTTTCACCTTTTCAATGGTCCACTCCTTGCTGCAAACACCAGCTGAGACCACAGTCTCTCCCCGGCGGTCGGTAATTTTGTCATTTATCCGCCACCCCTTCTAGACCAGTCTGCAAAATATGGGCTAACATGAAAGTGGTCGGTGAGGCAGAAGAAAGGTGGAGGACCCCTGAACTAAATGGTTCCCGACTATCTGGTTGGAAGTCATTTCATAGTCCTGTGGCGCTCTTCTTTTATCTCTACTTGGTCGGACCAGCTGCAATAATATTAGTCACACCGGCAGCAGAGTCTACGGCCAAAACCCCAAACCCCAAAACCTGCTTGTTTGGAATTCTCCTGCTGCGGGACGTTGTTGTTTCAATGATGCCGTTTGAAACGTGTCTGCTAAGCTGCTGCTGACAGGAAATTGGTGTTTTAGCTCCGAGATCTGGTCCTTTCCGATTGTATTGGGATGTTCTAATTTATTTCTTTGAAAGATGCTTCTAGCTCAGCGGAAATGGCGGCGTGATAACGGTTTTAATCTTGCGTCAGTACCACCATTGTCTTCAGAACTCTCCACACTCCAGAAGTGTCTCAGAAGCTATTCTCCTGCCTGCTTGTTCTTCGATCTTTTCTGGGGACTCTGCAGGGGGCAAAGTTCACAGGGTTTTGGCAGCTGGAAAGCTGATCTCCCGCCCTGGCAGTGGTTGTCGGAAGTAGAAGAAAATAGCGAGGAAGGGCTTTGCCCTTCAGGTCATAGGTCGTCTAAAAAGGTGTAACCCAGCAGCTGGACTAAATAGTCTCCATTTTTAATCTGAGGGGTCGCCAGGACAACGACCTGTAAACCTTCAGTATCATAGAACCGAAGAAGAAGAAAAATCTTCTTGCAATACAATGAATGCACATTTATTAAAATGAATTGTAAAACATGAGTCTCAGGCTTTGATGCTTTTTATAGGTACTTGTCACTAATCACATGATCAATACTTGTTTGTGTTATGTTTCTTCATCCTACTATTCCCATATGATATGTAGAGAGCCCATTTAGTGAACTTAAAACCCAAAATGTGGCACTATTAGTGCAGTTTCTTTCTGTCTTCGACTCCTTTTTTTAATCTCGTTGCTGCATAGCTTATTACTAATGTAAAGAAGTTGGATTTGAAGACAACATGTGAAGGCCGCTCTTTAATTTGCAACGTCTTGTACTGTTTAAAAAAAAAAAAAAAAATCTAATCTGTATAAACTCACACACCTGTCCACACCGGGAAAAACCTAAATCAACCCATCTCTACTTGGTTTGACTACTGAAATATGGACAGCGCAGATACACAAAGGATCGTCTTGTAAAGTGTGAGCAGTGAAGCGGATCACGGGTCACCCTCTCCTCTGTGTGCAGGATGCAAATAGACTTTTAGTGAATTCGACCTGCTGTTGTTCTGTCCACCAGCAGAGGGCGTGTCTGTCCATGCGGCCTCTACTCGGCCCCGCAAGAGTGCTGCTCTGTTTTGCAGAGATGCAGCGAGGGCATCATATGCATGCCATATGCAGAGCTCCTCTTCCCTCCTGACACCAGGCCTGAACCATCAGCGGGGGCCTCGGCTCCATCCAAGAGGGGCTTTCACTCCAAAGCAATGAATTCACCCAACCCGTCACGACAGACCGACTGCGAACATGCTACACTGTGTCACTTTCTCACCTCTCCTCTGGCTCGTTTACACATTTGTTGACCGCAGGTGTTGTCTTTATTCCTGTCCCCCCCCCCCCCCAGACAGTTCACCACTGCATGCACAGGTCTATTGTTGCAGATCAGGCGGCGCCGAGGCGTGAAGCTACTCTTGTTGATTGTGAGCGGGTGGTGTTATGACTGGAGTGGGGAATAGGATTTTCACTAGGAATGCACATCTTTCTTGGGTTCATGCATTGTTCAGTTATCTTCGTTCAGTATTTGTTATTATTTTATGAGAAAATAACCTGCAAAAGCTCAAAGCACCACTGTGTGTGAGCACGGCTGCCGGTCGACAGAAAGAACGGACGGACAGAGTTCAGAAACCACATGACTGCTCCGTCAGGCCACTCGGGTTTCATCCCCCATCAAAAATACTAACGGCTGCAGAATTTTGGTTCTTCCAGATAGCTAACCACTTCACCCGTAAAATGTCGGTTTACATGTCCGTACGTAACGTGTCGCCTCACAGAGGCTCACTGCAATGACGATACCCCCCCATGATCATAAACCCATAAAACCACTCGAGTGACAGCAGCTCTGCATCCGACACCACTACCTCTTGACGCGTTGGCACACGCTTTATGTTTTTGGACTTGGGTCTGTCTGTTATGAGAGCAGTTGGATATTTCCTGCGTGTGATTTCATCCGTGAGGACGTTAGAGACACATTAGTCAGGGTGGCGGGTGGCGGTGTGTGGGGGGGGGGGACCGAGGTGTTGGAAAGAATTTCTGTAGACAGTGATGGACAACCTGAACCAAAGATGACGACCCAAAATAATCTGCGTGAACAGGTAGAAGCCGTCCACTGTTTTGGTCCTCAAGGTCACTGTATTTTAAATATAAACTTTAGGTAATGTGTTTGTTTCAGCTGCTGTTTCAGTTTTCGGCAGCGACGTCACAGTGAGCGACGCAATCAGAGGACGCTCAGAGTTCAAGACACTTTGTGTACTGCTCGTACTGTTAGTGCCGGCCTTTGAGAACAAATATTAATAATATTATGTAATATTTAGTTGGTTGATCCGTCCGCTTCAAATTCCCAGTCTGGATGAAATACGGTAAAAAGTGTTCATCAGATATTTTTGTCTAGCTTGGCGGCAAAATAAAAAAATGACAGTTTTGACTTCTGGTGCAATCATTTGGTTTTGATAAACAAGACACACATTTATAAATATTAAAATGTGTTATTTGGTGAAATTGAAAAGCTTAAAACTAATTTTTAGAAGCTTCAGTAAAAAATGTTTTCCCACCAATATGTTTTATTCCTACCCGCGTATACCTCAGATCAAATGTCGTTGATCTCAGTGATTCCAAATCACTGAGATCATACTTTAAACATCCTCCTATTCTGGCATTCGTTATTACATTCCAGCATATGAAAGTAAAGCAGGGCCATAACATTGACATCATATTCACGGCATGATATGAAACTAAATATTGTCATGTGGCCTGGTCATCATCTTCCCAGGTTTTAAAGGCTCAATCAAACGATTCAAGTTTAGACCATTTAACGGCTCTGTCTGTAAAAAAAAAAAAAAAAAATCATATTCCATAAAACTCCCAATTAGTTCATACCAAATGTTTTAAGAAAGCACCGACAAACAAAATCCCTTCAAAACATCAAGCCAGACTTTAAGTTATTACCATGTTATTATAGTCAGTAAGTGAGTGGCAGCCTTTTACTTGCTAACAGCCCTATCAATAACCCGGTACATTAACAGATTCACAAACAAATACACACACGCACACACTTCAGCGCGCCCATATGCCATATTTACGTGACCCGTATGCCTCGGGACCGAGTGCCATTTTGGCGCCTTTGTCTCTATGCGAGGCGGAGCAGCTTTTGTAAGTTGACACCTACTTCTCCGCATGACATGTCATGCGGAGGAGGCCTTTCTGCATGTTTGTGCATATCGGTGGCGCTCTGTTAACGGCAGTCTGGCAGCGAACGGTAACACGAGGCCCCCGAGGAGCTGATGCAGTGTGTAAATGAAACGGGCCCTCGGGTTTCTGTCTCCCTGCCCTCTTTTTTTTTTTTTGTTTACCTAGAAAAAGGGAAGCTTGGTCTTTTGCAGGGTGTCTTTTGTGTGTCGGGGAAGAGGCAGTCTAATTCATGGTGGGGCTGCAGTCCCAGCCAGTTGGTTGACATCTAACCTTGCTACTGTGCAGCCTGGATCCGGGGGGGGGGCATTAGATGGATGAGTTAACAGCAGCTCCTGGGCCGGCAGTGTCCTCTGTCCTCTGACTGCCAAGACCACTTCAAATGTGCAAAGCATAATCCCCCTCTGACATTAATATTTTCAGATGGAGGCCAGCGGGGAGCGTGGTGGGGGAAGGGGGGGAGGGGTTGGCGATGTAAGCAAGGTCTTTTTGGCGAGCCTTGTTTCATGTTGGCAGTGGTGATGGACACCGAGGCCATTACTCACAGTGCAGGCATGTCCAGAATGTATTCTTAGCCACCGTCTTCCTATCAGTCACTACAGAAAGGCTGGAGTGTCAAAAAATAAAGGGGTAACCAGTCTACGGCGCTGTCTGCACCACTGCTGTTTACCAGGGAGGGAGGGAGGGGGGGGGGTCTGGTATTTTAAACCTGCGAGAGCTCCCATATTTACCCCCACTGAGCCTGACCGACTTGCCATTTGGTGGGGCGAAGACGAAGGAGAGAAGACGCAAAGAGGGACGCACGCTCTTTAAGTCACGGCTCGTTCGCCTCGTAGCCAGAAACCAATCCAGAGAATACAATAAAAGGAAGCGTATCACAGCAGAAGGAGACTGAGCTGAACAGAAGGTTGGAGGATTAAAGGCGAGAATAGAGGGGGGAAGCACTTAGGGGGAGGCTAGCGGTAGCCTGGCTGAGCTGACTCCCCCCTCCCCCCCCTCCTCCTCCTCCTCCGCGAGGAGGAGTTGCAGTTTGCCGGCCAGGGCTGGTCCCAGGGCTGGCAGGGCTGGCCCTACTGCTTCTCCCCCTCCATTCCTTCCTTCCTTCCTTCCTCTCTCTCTCTCTCTCCTCCTTCTCTGCCTCCCTTTTTTTTAACAATCAACTGAACTGCTGTGCAGTGATGAACTTCCAGGCCGGCCCTGTGAGCAACACAGGAATGCTCAGAAAATCCTGCCAAGGAAACTCCTCCGCCTCAAGGGAGGCGAACTGGACAGGTTGAGCCTTCCGCAAGAGGACCTGCGCTGCAGTATAGACCGTCCCCCCTTCTGTCACCCCGTCTCTCTTGTTGCACTCACTGGTTGAGCGCACTGAGAGACTTTTTTTCTTCTTCTTTCCTTTTCTTTTTTAAAAAAAACTGGAACCGTGGCGACTTTTTCGGTAGCGCGGTGCAAGGACCAGCTCCACTCGCCCAAGATGAGCCGCTGGCTGAAATGCACCTCCATGCACTTTGTAGGTATTCGTTGGTTTCACTTTGTCATGGTTCCTGTTCTGTTAATGTGCTTTCGTCTACAAGTCTATAGTTGCCTGAAAGTTGTGTTGTAACATCTTCTAAAGTTGGGTCAATCGAGTTGCTCATCGGTTCACTACAGCAGGATGTTGTGCATGGTGTTGTCTAGAAGATGTGTGCGTGTTTCATCATCCTCTCATTGTGGCAGTGCATGTGTTTTGAAACTGTTAAGGTTGTGTGTGTGTGTGTGTGTGTGTGTGTGTGTGTGTGTGTGTGTGTGTGTGTGTGCTTGTGTTCTCTGTTTGTGTTTGACCTCCAGTATAAAACATCCCTATTAAAGTGTGCTTCCCAGAAGCCCTAAAAGTACTCTGTTCACATGCTCTGTAGCTATTACTCAGGAGGGGGTGGGGCTGGTGAAGCTGCAGCACATTGTTGGCACATTCTTGAACTTAATTATAGTCTTGTACTACAAAAGGACAAATTACACTGAGTCATGTCCGCATATCTCATTATTTAATTAACATCCCACATTGTAGGTGTTACCCACTGGTCTTTGGTCAAATACTTGTTCAGCTATTGTCTGTTGAACGTATGCATGCATGACCGTTTGCCGTCTCCATTGTCAGAACACAGACTGGAACAAGTACGATGACCGGCTGATGAAGGCCGTGGAGCGGAGGGAGGTGGACAAGGTGGCCGCCGTTCTCAGCAAGAAGGCCATCATCCCCAGCAAGCTCGACGTAGAAGGACACTCGGCGTAAGTAAACGCAGCATCTAACCATCTGCGGACGTGCACACACCCACAGGTGGCATGTTGCACGTACGTTCTACCCTGCCCTTTCTTTAATCGTAATACTTCAGCATCATGTTAACACATGTCACACACTGTTGGGGTTTCCCCCCCTTGTTTCCCAGATGAAGCATCTAATGATGGGATTTTTTTTACAATTAGGTCACTTTTACTCAGAGATAGTTTAACATCTTGTCTCCCTGCATGACCCTTAAAAAGAAAAGAGGAAAAAATATGAAACGCCGGCCCCCTTTCTAAATTCTCCTTGGCTCTGGTGACCCTGTGAAACGTTTTTAGCCTTATAACTTCTCCCAGCTGCCCAGCGTCGGCTTTCGCTGCTGCATATTATCATTATGAGTCCCTTTTTATACCCATAAATGTCTCTTTTGGTGTCCATTTGACCGGAGGTCACTGTGGGAGTTGGTACAGAAATGTCTGTGGCCACTGAAGGCTGTTTGTGTAGTCCCCACAGGAAATGACTCCCGGCAGACCGATCCACTGTAGTGCTATGCGACTCAAAATAATGCATTTTGACCCAGCTGCAGGATCGGTTGACATCTTTTGAGGACCATGTTTGGTTCAGTGGGATTTTCTTCAATCATTAATCTTAATCAGGAATCATGTTTTAGGTTGTTTTTGTTTTGCAAAAAGCTTCAAAAAGTGTAATATGAGGGACCAAAAGAGATGAAGTAGATGTAAGGTGCATGGAGAATAGTGGCTCAGCCCATCGGTACAATGGGCAGGCATTGTTTCTGATGATGCATCACACACATTACAGGTTCCACGATGGAATCATGGAAAACAAGGCGTCGAGCGGTTTAAAGTAGCAGGTGCTTTGTCTTATTGTTAACTGTAACCAGATTCCAACAAGCAGCATTTTGGGAGGCCCTCTGTTTTAATCCTGGATATTTGAGAGGTCTCTGGTTTCTGGCTTGTGCTTCAGGTTTATTTTGACAAAGGCTTCCTTCAAGCATAAAACTGTGGAGCCACAAATCCCAGCAGCCAAAGTGCAGAGTAGGTGCCGAGTATTTTCAGCGATCTTTGTGAAGTTCTCCCCCTGCAGCATCGCACAGTTCCGACTGTTGTACACATGCGGGGCTCGTGAATAAGCGCGACGACACAACACGCAACCTGATAAATGCCTGGTCTCATAATAAGGTGCCAGAATCCGACGGAACCACATCCCGTGACTGCAGAGGCCGCTGTTCCCCCTCATCACCCGGTGTTCCCCTGCAGGGCGGAGCGACCACAGCTAGTTAACCATAAAATCAACACGTTGAACGTTTATAGAAACGGGTCAACCCCAAACAATGGCGCACCACAATATCAACTCAGCAGGTCTACTTTTAGTTCAGTGGGCCACACACAGAGGAACACGTGTCTAGCGGGGGAATGTCTGCTGGCGTTGTCTCGTAATCATGGAACTCTGTGGGGAAGCTAATTACAAACCGTTAAGCCCGGTGTGTTTTCTTTAAAGCTGCGTGTCCACAATCCGGCCCCCTGACCGAAAGAGGGCGGCGGGGACGACATATTTCAGTTACTATCTCACTGGTTTCCTTGACAAAATGCCAACAGGATTTATGGTTTCTGAGAACAAAAATGAGTCATTCTTACACATTTTTTCCAGCGAGATAATCCGCTTTGGTAATATATCGGCAGGAGGTAAAAAGTCAAGCTAGAAACGAACGGCACGCCGGTCACATGAGGGCGATGTAAACACAGCAAGGCTGTGAAGGAGGACTAATCACTATGTAGTCTCATTTATCCAGCGCTTTGCAAAAATCACTTCCTGAGAAGGGTATTTACTTTATTTTCTGTCATAGATTAAAATGTGAAAACGCTTCAAAAGTAATTTACGGTATCTAAGCAAAGCGTGATTTAAAGAAAAACCATGACTTAAAGACCGGCGAAGCCAAAGTGCAAAGATGCTGACACCAGAGAAAAATATCAGCTCAATGTCTTAAGCTAGTTTGTGACCGTTCTGCTGTTTAGAGCTAAATGGTGTTCGATAAGTCTGTGGGCAGAGTGACCACTTTGATAATGCACATAGCATTAAGCGTTAATTACTATGAAATATTGCGGCTTCACACGGATGTGGTTTCCTTTGACTTTCCTTTTGAACAAAGTGCAGCAACAACTGGACGAGTACGAGGGAAATCCGTGGGTATGAGTTGAAACCTTCGGCAGCACACAGTGTTTTGACTGTAGTGTCTGCATTGATAACCACCCGCTGTATATGGTTCAGCCAGCAGCATACTCTCCCCCCCGACCACTCTCTAAAAATAGCATCCGTATATCGTCGACCTGAAAAACCTCCCAAGGAGCAGGTGTGACGGGGAGACGCCGTGTGCTCTCTTAAAGTCAGACCCATTAGGTAACCGACATGTATCTTTGAGCCCTTTTACTCTCCAACTGGGTGCACAGTAAATGTCTCCACACCTCAGAACCGCAGATTCTCAGTGTTTGGTCGGTGTCTAACGTTTGGCTGTTTGGTTGGTTTCTCGTTAGCAGTCTTAACTTTTTTTTTTTTCTAATGCATTTAAATCTCCTCCAATCAAACCTGGGCTTTAGTTTCTTTCAATTAGATGTAACATAGTCTCAAAGACGTGATTTTCATTATTCCTCCAGCCATCTTCTGTAAGAACGCCGTGGCTCATGAACCTCGTAGTTCCTAATACTTCCAACCGCGCCACCCCCCCACAGGAGCCCCAACTGCTCCCCAGAGAACCCTCATCTCCAGGCCATCAACACGGCTTTTAATACCCCCGGCCGTGTTGGGGTGGCAGCCTAGCTGTCTCCTTGGCGGATACCTCGGGGTTAATGTATAAGCGGGCTCATGTGGCTTGATGGGTGACAGACTGAGATTGGTTTACACACCAGTGCTCTGCAGAGCCTTGCTGGCTGGCTGGCTGGTGGGGGCGGCGCCGCTGTGGGGGAGGACCAGGGAGGGGGAACAGCAAGGTTTCCAAAGGGATAATTGAAGACCTGTTGACAACCGAGTTCAGTGGGAAACCGCTTAATTGAGTTGTCCGTTAACAATGGGATGCAAACTGTGTTCCAATCAAACGGATGAAATACCAATTTCACAAGATGATCCCGATTCCTCTGCTGCTGTTTCAGCCTGTTAAATTCTTAGAGCTTAATATTTTAGTCAGTTGCCTGACATTTGTTTACCGTCGTGGCCGTTTCTTTGATCACATGACGCAAACTAGACACGCAGAGGGAAAAGTCTCACTAGTAATGTCATTGTGTAATTATTCTTAAACTTCTGCAACAGCTTCCCCTAAATAAGGATTGTGTTGGAGATGTTACCTTCACACACAAAAAAAGACCACGGGACACAAAAGGCATAAAGGGAAGAGAAGCCAGTTTGTAACCTAATGCGACGATGGGAAAATGCTGTTGTTGAAGCTCTTGGTTGCCACGGAAACATGACACAACCTGGGGGTTTCTTTTCATTCACCTCAAGAATGCTGATCCTGCGGATAGCGAGTGGCCAGGCGTCTGTTTGGAGTCCCGTTCTGGTCCTTAAGTTTCAACCCCCCAGCCTCCCCCTCCTCTTTACACCCTATCACCTTTTCACTTTTTCACCTGCTCCGTGCCGCCTACTCCTCTGACATCTCCCCGGGTCAGTTCTGCTCTCTTATTTGTCTCCCCCCCCCCCACCTCTCCTCTTGTTTTCCAGGTTCCATTTGGCTGCGACGCGAGGACACCTCGACTGCCTCAATCTGATCCTGGCACATGGCGTCGACGTCACGGCGTCGGATGCCACCGGTGAGTTCAGGTTGGGCGAAAGCAGCGTCCCGAAGCTGCGGCGACATGCTTGCATGTGTTTCTGATATTTTGTCCACCGTCATCATGTCGAAAAGGGCAAACCTGATACTTGAAAGCGGCTTGTTTACTAAACCAGAGAAGCAGTATTTCTTGGTCAGTAATATGCTTCATACTGAATGAAAGCTTCCCCCTCACTTCATGAATTTACTCCATCAAATGGCCTGAAGACCGTGTCTCTACACAGACCTCTTGGTTGATTAAATCGTTGATTTATTATGTTAAGACATTTTACACTTATTCCCCCTTTTCAGATTGAGAGGATATATTTTCTCCTTTTCACCATCACTATCCAATCTTCTTGTCGGCGGAAATGTTAACAGAATGAAGTGACTGAGGGGAATTCTTCATTCGAACCTGGGAGAATAGCTGAAAAGAAACTGGCATAATTTACAATCGGGAGCACGTTGTGAATCCTATAATGCGTCGTGCGTGATTCATGCCAAACTGTGATTCCCTAACTGCCTCCGTTGGGATTGAAACTCGTGGTCTCCGGGTTTGCCGCCCCGCCGCTTCGCCCGCTGAGGCGAGCTCCTAGTGATTCACCGCTGAATCTTGTGGTGCAATCAACGGCACGTCTGCAGCAAAGCGGAACAACAAAGTGATGCGTTCTGGTTGATTTTGACAGAATAATGTGTCTGATTAATGGCGTTGTCGTGATGAAGCGACACGATTTTTGCGAGCGCAGTTTCCCTCGGTGCAATTGCAGACTTAAAAGTACCACCTAACCGGGTCGTTAAGGGTTGATTGCACAGTGAGTTTGGCTCTTGAAATACTTTGAATGCAAACCCCTTGATTATGATTGTAGTTAATGTTTCTCCCTTTCTTCATTTATTACTTGCAGGCAAAAACGCTCTCCATCAGGCTTCAAGAAATGGGCATTCTCTGTGTGTGCAGAAACTCCTGCAGGTAAAGCGCATTTGTCTTCAATCAACAATGTACATTGCGTTTGTTTCTTCGAGTTGTCCCCTGGCATCGCCCCCACGCAGCGCGCTCCGCAGACCTGACCCCCCCCGGCCACTGTCCAGTTGCAGCAGTTTGCTTCTTTAAATAGTTATTCCCAAACGGCAGCTGAGCAAACTGCGTATCGGTCGACGGTAGGCCCTGTTGAGTCACGGCGTCCCACCGGGGGATTTATGTGTTTACAACCGAAGGGGGAGGGGGGGGCTGCTATCTCGGCAATATTGTGCCCTTGCAGCGTTGTAGCCCCGCCCCTCTCAGGGGTGTTGACAAGCCCGCCCTCCTGCAAACCTGCTGTCCATTCCGTCATCACACCAGACGCATCAGCCCGACGCCAGCACGCACCGCCTCCACTACCTCCCACGTCAGCCCGAACCCCCGTGGTATAGGATACCCCCCCCCCCAGCCCTCCCTCCCTCCAAATGCTCCAACGTCGGCTCCCGTTGCCGGTCCAACTCTCGCCCACTTCGCTTTGTCACTTGAGCGCACTGCTAATTTTTGGCCCTTGTTGCTAGATAGAGTTGGGTTTTTTTTAGTGGCGCTCGCCGGCAAGCTTACCCGGCAACATGGGGCCCCTGTTGGCATTGCATTCACAGCAGGCCCTCGTCACCAGAGTGGTACACTACAACCAGCTGACTGACTGACAGTGGGGGGGAGATGTCACAAGCATATCAGCACGGCGCCACTTAGTCCGATACAACCTGCCTGCTGTTGGGCTCCGGTTCCACCGGTCAACCAGTGGGAATTAACCATTTTATTAATACTAAAATATAATAACTTTTTCTATTCTGCTAGATCCATGTGAAACAACCAGAGGTCCCGCTCACGTCTTTGTGAAATAAGCTCCTCCCATCCTTTGATTAACTTACAAACTGAAGATCCAGATTCGGGTCAAATATTCTTTAGCTAGCTTCTTTATCTCCTTAGAAAAATATGGAGTTGGCTAAATGAGCTTTATTGAAGTTGGTACTGAGGATTTAACATTTAATACAATAACTTCATTTTCAACAGAGACTGTGACATAAAGAGAAAATATAAATCGTTGCTCCCATTTATTAATTTTTGCACATGAGATGTATTTAGTGGCCTCATTTTAAGGAATTATTCAAAGTTTTGCTTCATCCGTGAGCATAATATTGGATAATATGAAGTGACTTATTTTTCTTAATTGGAATAAAGGGATAAAATCATATATTGAGATATTGTGTGTTTTTTGCAGCACAACAGTCCAGTCGGAAATGTGGACCTACAAGGAAGAACAGCGCTACATGATGCTGGTAAGATTTCCTGTTTGAAATAAATTAAAAGCTCATGTGATCATTGAGATGAACCGCATTAGATTAAATATTCCAGCATGCCAATGAAACCGTTCAGATTTTTAATAGCGTTTCACACAAAGCTCCTCGGCGCTGCTGTGTGCGATGGATGCACGTGTGCGTTTTGTTGGTAAATGGGATGAAATGATTGCAGTCGTTTGTGCTCTTTCTCTCCACAGTCATGGGCGGCTGCTCCTCCAGCGTGAAACTTCTCTGTGACAGCGGGGCTTCTGTGAATGCCACGGATTTTGTGAGAATCTTTCTATTTGTTTCACTTCATTTCACACCGTTTGTTAAACTGGTCACTTCTAAGGTATTTTCAGTTCAGTTGTCATTGTAGAAAAGTGTATTAATTGTGTTCAAGTCGGGTATTTAATATCTTTTGGAATTGAAAAGTGAGCCTTTTTAAAACCAACCTCGTTCAGCTCAGTCTTGCATCAACATCACTCGTCTCATAACTGCGGTTTTGGATGTAAATTAGTGTATTTATGTGCATGCGTTTTCTATTTTCTGCAGGATGGCAGAACACCTCTGGTGCTGGCAACCCAGATGTGTCATCCACGCATCTGTCAGCTGCTGCTGGAGCGAGGGGCTGACATCACCATCCGGGACAAACTAAACAAGTGAGAAACATCACCTCATTGTGGTGTTTTTATCTTTTTGGTTAACATGTTGGCATGCGTACAGTGCTGCTCACAAAAGACTGGCGTCGTCGGGTTATTAACTTAAAACAGTTCACTCTGTTGATTTCTTTGCTGTATCAGACTTGATGACGTTAACTTCAAGTCCGACAACACTGTCAGTTCTTTACCGGCTATGAACATTTGTCCCAATTACAGTGTCAAGAAACTAGAAGTGTTGACGAGTCCACTCAGCTCCCACCGCTGTGAATTATTTTAGACTAGATACACAGCGACTCGTCTTTCGTGCCACAGTATTTTGGCTCCACATCCTCATATTCAGACCCATTGGTGCCATAGACAGTTTGTTCCCGTCCTCGCTCACGGACGGCGTTTGTTGACGCCCTCAGGACGGCGCTGATCCTGGGCTGCGAGTTTGGCTGCAAGGACGCCGTGGAGGTGTTGCTGAAGAGCGGCAGCGACGTGAAGGCCGTGGACGGCTTGGGTCAGGACGCGCTGCACTACGCTCGCCTCAACAAGAACCCCGAGCTCGTCACCTTGATCAAAAGTCACCTCGACAAAGCCACCAGAGGTCAGTTGTTTGGAATAAATATTGGAGCATAATGTGCATGGCATTGAAGCCGACAATCGGCCCAACATTTATTTCAAAGAAGAGGATCTCGAGACAATTTGTTGTACAACTGTAGCGTGATGCTGTTTGTTAACATACGTTACAAAATAGATCTGCTGCGGATGGCAGGATGTCATCATTCGGCCTAATTTTTATTTTCTAGTCTCGCTTCAGTGCATTCCTTTCCATGAACATGTTGTGAGGAGCTTTTGTTCTGTAAACACACATGTTTTATCACATCTGGGTGACTGTTGTGGGGGAGGCTGAACTGGCTGTTTTCTCTTGTTCCAGATAAAGAGGCCGCGAAGATAGAGCAGTGGAAGCGACAGGTAATTGTTCTACATTTAGTTGACTGGCTCACACCATCCATTAAACCTTAATTCTCCACACTACCGTAATGTAGCATTTGATAGGGCCATTGTTTTCAGCAGCTCTTTTCGTTCAAAGATAATGTGTCAAAGCCATTCAAATGCTGAGAGACTGAATATTTTAGCGTTTCATTCGCACTTCAAATTCTTCTCACTCACTGGCTGCAGCTCAGATGTACATGACTGCCATCTAGTGAACGTAACTGAGAGTTGTTCTCTACACTTTCTAATCCCTCGGTAATGTTATCTCTTCAAAACACTGTTGTAAAAAAGATCCTGTGTCATCCGCAGCATTCAGTGGAGAGATCGGAGGCAGCTGAGGTTAACAGAAGGGATCAAATCATACATGTAAGTGCTGTTTGACTTCAGCCTCCCTGTTCCACACAAACACGGAAGCAACTTTTGAGACATTTAAGGAGTGTTTGCTTGAATCCACTGCATCCAGTCAAGTCAAATCATCCATATCCTCTCTGCTCTGATGCATTATAAGTGATTTCTAGCATTTAGCAGTTGTGTTAGTTGGTTTCAGTTTGGAAACTTTATTGTTTTGTGTTTTATTTCAGGACTTTGAGAAGCAGAACGAGGCCCTGCAGGAAAGCCTGAGGAACTATCAGCAGGATCAAAGAGCCTTGTTGGATCAAGTCAACGTGCTGCAGCAACAGCTCACACAGGTACAAATATAAATGTATTAAACAAATATGTGTAAATGTATTGTTTCAAGTGGATTTGAGTCACACTCTCATGGCTCAACGTCAAGGAATGTGTGATAACGCAAAGCAAGCTTTGACCTATGATTGCTGTTGTGAGATAGTGATGACTTACTCAGTGAGGAATCATCAGCCATGGAGTGATAATAGATTCCAATATGATAACGAGGGATTCAATCAAAATAATGTAGTTGTTATTGGTAATGAATCCCTTAAATGACATGCAAATATATAAAATGTTATTCATTTATCTGCAGGAAAAGATCACTGTGGAAGATGCTCAAAAAGAGGTATGTAAGTGGAATAATTTATTGGACTTTGTAGGCCTCATTCTCGAATTTGAAATCATTTTCTTTATTTCAATGCTGCTGTTGGATTGTATTTGCCATCATTCTCTAATCAGTCGCTTATTGATGGCCGTGTTTCTTTCTCTTGCATCAGAAGGATCAGTTGAAGGTGTTACTTGGTTCCAAAGAGGAAGGGGCTCGAGGCCAGGAGACCGTCAAGGTTCAGCTCAGGAGCACTATGGTCAGTGACTTTACGCTTTATTACATTTTCACTTGGAGCCTTTCATCTGACTTGTGATCAGACTTAAGACAAGTGTTGGTTCAGCCACCAAGTAGACAAATGATTTGGACACAAAGGACGGGTTTGAACTTTGATGTGTATGCTAAATGCAAACGATATCATTGCTGATAAAACAATGCTGCCGTTGTCTTAATGAAAGCCAAAACATGACCAAGATGCTTCCTGGTTAAGGCAGTATATCATGTCATGTTTCTATTGTCGCTGCAATGATGCAGTGGTCATGTGTTGGGTGCTGCTGATTTAACCTTAATGTCACATCCTCCAAAAGGTTATGATGAACAGTGTTGTTTCCCGTGCTGGAAATAGAAATGTATTCCAAGTCCCGTTTAGTAATTACTATTTGTTGTTCTGTGTATTCCAGGGGGATTACTCTGGACAGTCCGTTATCAAAGGCAAGCGTCATCTCTCGAGATTATGGAATCAAACGATTCTTAATGATGTCAACAGTCACTAATTCGGAGCTTCACGTTGTTGCACTTTGTTTTTCTTGCAGGTAAAGAAAACAATCTGGTCAAACAAGCTCACAGCCTGGACTCTGATCAGGTACATTTATATCTTATTCGTCTGAAGTACGGGGTTGGTAGTTTGCATTTGAGCAGTTTGAGGTAACAAAGGTGGCCTGAGTAGGACCTGTATACAAATCAAACCCTTTGTCCAGTATTCAGATCTTGTCTTTTTTTTCTTGCAAATGAGAGATTTTATTTCAAAGAAAATAAAATGTAGGAACCGTATTTGCGAATGAAGCACTAAGCAATTAAAACGTTCCATATTCTCAAATAAAGTACATATGAAAATGAATGTCAATTCAAATAAAATACAATTTCCCCACATTCTGCAGGTGCTCCAGAATCTTGCCTTGTCGCACTCGTTGTCCAGACCTTCAGAGAAGAACCATCCCTCTGTGGGCTGGCACATCTCCGCGGAGCTGGATGCCCTCCAACGAGAACTCGAGGCGGTCAAGAGAAGACAACAGGCGGCGGACGAGGAGACGGCGCAGCTTCAGTCGGCCCTGAACCGCAAGACCCGAGAGTGCCAGGAGCTGGTCCTCAGCCGAGACACCATCCAGAAACAGGCCGACCAGCAGATTCAAGGTCTGGAGGACGCCTTGGGGGACGTCCAGAAGAGGATGCTGGATTCCGAGTGTAAGGTGAAACAGCTGCAGGCCCACGTGGTCGCCGTTAAGGAACACCTCGGGGGCCAGGCGACGGAGGAGCTGCGCGCTCAGCTCCAGGACGTCAAGGCCAAGTACGAAGGAGCGTCGGCCGAAGTGTGCCGCGTTCGCAACCGCCTCAAACAGAGCGAGAAGGCCCTGGAGGAGTACAAGAGCAGCGAGAACCAGCTGGCCACGGAGGCCGAGAAGCTGAACCAGGAGCTGGCGGCCGTGACCGCCGACCGAGACGACCTAGCGATTGTTGTCGTAGAAATGGAAGCCCACCTGAAGGAGACCCAGAGCAAATGCGGCAACACGGTGCCGGCTGAGAAGTTCGACAACATGAAAAACCTGCTGAGCAACGCGGTCGACGAGAAGGAGCGGCAGATCGCCGAGCTGAGGGAAGACTACGACCGCGTGCTGGAGGAGGTGGCCGAGCTCAACCGCAAGCTGGACGGCCCGTCCTCCCGCGGCGCGGCGGGCGCCGTGCAGGCGGCGCTCGAGCAGCAGAACGCTTCTCTGAAAAGGAGGCTGTCGGACGTGACGGCCAAAAGCCAGGCGCTGATTCAGGAAGTGGAGGAGAGCGAGGAGGAGAGAGAGATGCTGCGAGAGCAGCTGGACGAACTCAACAGCAGGATCCAGATGGACTACGTTCCCGTGAACGCGCACGACGAAGCCCGGAGGAACATGGCGTCGGCGTTGGAGGAGCTGGAGGACAAGCTGGTGGAAGCCGGCGAACGTTGCGGAAAAGCGGAGGCGCAGGTCCAGCAGCTTCAGTCGGAGAGGCCGGCGCTGCAGGCGAACATCGGCAGCCTCCGAAGCGCCAGCGAGAGGCACCTCGGCGAGGTGGACGCTCTGAGGTCTCAGAACGCCGACCTGACGAAGAAGCTAGAACTTTTGCAGAGGAGATGCGAGGACGGGGATAGAGAGTGTGCGCGGCTGACCACGCAGAGCCAGACTCTGCAGCGGAGCTTGGAAGGAGAGTACGTTCCCAGACGGCAGCACGAGCAAGTGAAGATGGAGTTAGAGAGCGCCGAGGCCGAGAGGTTGAAGTTGGAGACCAAGGGTGAAGAAAGTGGGGAAGAACTCAAGAATGTGAAAGAAAGACACGAAAAGTTAAAGGAGAAGTTTGAGAAAGTCCAGTTGGAGATGAGACGAGACTATGTGAGCGTGGAGGAGCACAAAGCTGTCACAGACAAGTTGAACGCCGCCGTGGTGGAGGCGGAGAAACGGGCGAGCGACGCGTCGGCGAGTTACGCAGCGGCTCAACAGGAAACGGCCAAGCTTACTCAAGAACTGGAAGCTCAGAGGAAAGAGCTTGACACCATTCAGGAGGCGATTCAGTCCAGGTTTATTCCACTGACAACAGCCGAGGAGAAAGAACACTCCCACAGCGCTCAGGTGAAGGACCTGAGCGTCCAGCTGCAGGAGATGGAAGAGAAGTATAACCGAGAAACGTCTGCGAGGGAGGAGTTGGAACAGGAGAAGGAGAAACTCGAGGTCCACGTCGAATCTCTCCAACAGAGGCTGAACGCCGCTGTGGCTACCAGTGAAAAGCACCGCAACATGGGGGAGGAGCTCAAGGATAAGCTGGAGGCATTAGCTCAGAAGTTGGTGAATCTGGAGCGGCAGCACGGCGAGGCCGCGCTTCAGAAGGAAGAGCTTCGAGAGCAGAAAGCCCTCGGCGACGCTCAGATCCAGAACCTCCAGGAGCGTCTGAAATCGGAGTTGACCCGAATTGCGACGTACGACACCGAGCTGAAGGCGCTGCACGACGCCGCGCGGCAAGCCCAGGCCGATTGCCAGAAGGCGAGGGAGGCTCAGCAGGAGGAGGCCCAGAGGGCGAGCGTCTTGCAGAGAGATGTGCAGGAGCGCCGCGGGGATCAGGCCGCTCTGCTGCGGCAGCACGCCGAGGCCCAGGAGGCCCTGGAGGCCGAGGTCGCTAAGCTCCGCCTGGCTCTCCGCGAAGAGGAGGAGAACGGCGCCCAGAGGGCCGAGGACGTGTCCGCGCTGCAATCAGAGCTCCTTCAGGCCACGCAGACTCTCGAGGAAATCAACTACAAAGAAGACCAAATGAACCAGCTGAAGACGGAGAAGCTGCGGCTGGAGGAGGAGGCCGCCAACCTGAGCAGCAGGCTCCTGAGCGCCACGGACGAGAGCGAAGAGGCCCGCCGGGAGGCGGCGAGGGCGCGGGAGGGGGAGAGCAGAGCGCGGACGGAGATGGAGGCGGTCCAGGAGAAGAGCCGCGCCATCGAGCGGGAAATTGGGGAGCTGAAGGAGAGATACGACGAGTCGCTCGCCACCATCCGTGATCTCCAGAGGGGGATTCAGAAGTCCGCTCAGCAGACTGAGGCCAAAGACAAAAAGGTGACAAGAAATGAGAATTTCTTTTTTTATTCATTTGACTTTATATGCTGCTGCAGGCAGTGTGTGTTTGTGTGTTTGCCTTTTAGCTAAATTTCATTTAGTGTGTCTGGGGGGGGGACGGGACATCTGCAATATATAAGATCTGTTTCTAGAGATGACATTCTTCAGGTCTGTTATAAGGTCTGTTAATAAACGTGTGTTTTGTGTGTCTCTCAGATCACGGAGTTGCTGACAGATGTTGAGCGGTTGAAGCAGGCACTAAACGGTCTGTCCCAGCTGGCGTACACAAGCAACGCGCCCAACAAGAGACAGACGCAGCACATCGACACACTCCACGGCCAGATCAAGAGCCTTCAGCAGCAGCTGGCTGTGAGTGGACACACGGAGAATGGCATTCACGTCTGCCGTTTCTGCTTTATTTAGTGTTTTTGTTCACGACTTCATTTAAATACCATTTGCACTGTTAGTTCTGCAATCCATGCGTTATGTGGTTGGGTATTTTTGTTAATAATAGGGCTTCAGAATTCATTCATTCAACCCTTATTTAACCAAGAAATGATTTGATGGGTCGACGTGGCGCAGGAGTAGAGAGGGTGCGCCGGGAACAGCAGGGTTGGTGGTTCGAGCCCCAGCTGCTCCCTGTCCCATGTTGAAGTGTCCCTGAGCAAGACACCTAACCCCTAATTGCTCCCTGGGCAAAAAAGCCATGGGTTAAAAATGCAATGTAAGTCGCTTTGGATAAACCCGTCAGCTAAATGACATGTAATGATGGAGAGACCTAATTCACAATATAGTGCAGTAAAACAAGAGGAACAAAGTAACACAAATGAGAAATTTTATAACGAATAATAATAATATTTAAGGCAAATTAATCAATCAAAACCAGAATAACAGCGAGTGAAACAGTATTCAATTAACGGTTAAAGTGAGGTGACCTTTGGATTGTTCTGCATGTGATCATGGTGATTCAAGCTCCTTTACCTGATCAATAGAGATTAAAAATAAGTTAGCGTCTCCATTGCTGTATTCAAACCCAGCCAATAAACGTCATGACAAAAAAATACTATACTGTAGAAAGAAATGCGTGCTGTCCTCATCGTAACATTCAGGTGGACATAAGTACAAGATGTAATAACGACTGTGCTTTTCTCCTCTGTTCCACAAGGATGCTGAGAGGCAACACAGAGACGTGGTTTCCATCTATCGGACTCATCTTCTCAGTGCAGCACAGGTACGTTTCACTCTCTACCGTCTAGCGAGGAGGACGGTCTAGTTCGTTTGTTCACACATGTTAGTTTGTATGACACACTGGCAGAGCACATTAAATGTACGACCTGGAGAAGACCAATGAAAGGCGTTATGAGATCTATCGAGTCATGACTTCACTTTGGTACAAGCAGAGATTTCCCCTTGCATGTTTTACACTACGGCAAAATGCGCCACAGTCAGCCGTTGGTTTGGTAACGACTAGTGCATGAAAACAAGAACGCCTGAATGATGCAAACACATCAAGGTGCGAGTGCAGAATTATAGTTGGGAACAAAGCTTTGAGACGCTGTGGGTGGATGAAATACAGCTCATTACTGACTGTGTCTCCCTCGCAGGGCCACATGGACGAGGACGTGCAGGCGGCTCTGCTGCAGATCATCCGCATGAGACAAGAGTTTGTGTGTTGAAAGCTTCCTGCGACAAAACAAAATGCTGCCTGCTGACCCAGATTCACCGTTTTCACACCTCCCACTGCTGAGTTCACCTGCTGTGGCCCCTGTGGGTGCCCTGTGCGCGTGTGTGATTGTGTGCGTGTGTGTGTCTGTATGTGTCATTGGGCAAAATTTCCGAAACAGGCTTTTTTTGTAGTAGTAGTGTGGCTGCACTTTAGCTCCCACATATCAATGTTGTGGGTAAAAGTGAAGAACCGTCGATTAAGATACAGACGATTTCAATTTGCATAGATTTCACTTTACTTAAAGTTTATTGTCAGTTTTGTACCTGTGAAATAGGGGTGTCTTTTCACAGTCAACTCCACCAGTTGCCAAGTGTTTCTCTTTTTTTGTTTTTAAGTAGGCAGAAGGGAAATCTAATTCTAAGAATCACCGATCCTGCTTTTAATGTCAAAGGTCGGAATCAAAAGTGAATTCCGATTTACTTTTTGATCTACAATTGAAATCGTGACGCCCTGACTGTGAAACCCACTTGTTATCATTTTGACATTTATGCAGGATCGTTTTCACATCAGAATACTATGTGAAAATGAGATTCCGTGGGATCTGTTGTACACGATGATCACCTGGTTGGTGCGTTGTTATGCAATGTGAGGTGTTATTTAACTCCCACACGCTGAGCTGACATGTAAACCGGACGTGAACACAAAGACCACGTTTCAGACAGTCGCTCTCATGCAGTCTGTTTTCTGCAGAGTATAGTAGAATTTGAGGGATACGTTCACAGGTCTTTTTTAAGTGGAATTTGAGGGCCAAATGGGCAGGCTTTTCCTAAAAGACTAATTATAGAAACTGTCACATTATAAATCCCTCTTAATAATCACTTATGATCCACTAAAAGGTTTTATTTGCTTTAATTATTCCTCCTGTTCATACTGGTCACTAAAAGATGCCTGAAAGACGTGTGGACGTATCCGTTAAATCCTACGACGTGTAGACTTCTCAGCCGCTGTAATCTGAATCGCACCGAAAAGTAACACGATTAAAATAAGTAATAGATGTTTGCTCTGTGCAAAAACAGATCTTAACCTTTAACCATTGCTCATATGAGGTTTCTCCACTAGGATGTAGTCATAGCGCGTGTTACCGTGTTTGTAGTTCAATATTCCCGCAAAAAAAAAACTTTTTCACAGAAATCTCTTTAATCTTTCCCCTAATTAAAACATTTTCATAAGGGAACCCCGGATCAAAGCACCCGACAGACTTAAAATAATGTGAATCTATCCTTTAACTTCGTGAATGTCGGCTGCGTTCTCTTTACTCTTTTTGTGGCACAGTTGTCGTCTCCTCGGGGTCCAAACCAGCTCGCGTGGTCCGAGGCCAGTTGGAATAATAATATTTAAAAAACCCGGGGAGGGTAAAAAGCTCACTCACGGCCTGGTAAAGTCTGCCCGTTGTTTGTGCTGGATTTGATTTATGGAGTGAGTGGGTGGGGGTGGGGGGGGGGTCTTTTGCCGTGTCCCACAGTTTGCAGTGGCACGTCGTCCTTTTTTTGTTGAAACCAGCGTCCTCTAGTGGAGAGACTTGGCGGGCCAAGTTGACAGGAGTTTATGGTGACCGGGGGGGGGAGGCAGCCGTTTGTCTTTGTAGAAGCTGGAACATCCGCAAGCGTGTGAAATCTCGCGGATAAGCGACGGAACATGAAATAGCCCCCACTCTCCCCCTCTCCTCCCTCAGCGAGGGCTGCGTGCCCCTCAGCCCGCTCTCTGTGCCTCCGGTGGTGTCGTGTGGTGGTTGTGATTGTGGAGCGAGTCTCTTATGCCTTTACACTGATGTATTTTCCATTGCTTTTTACTACTTTAAACACTGTACTGCAGTGTGACTGCATTCTGATCTTCAGCAGGTCTGGAAGTAGAGCGGAGCGAAACGCGCTCAGGGTGACGGTCCGAACGGAGCAGATCCCTTTATTTATGAGGAAAAACAAAACTTCTTTAGCGGTTATTTCTTTCAAGCACTCCGGTCTTTACCTTCCAGTTGCACACAGTTGGAATTCTCACTCTCTTTTTTTTATATTTTGGCCAAAAACTGACACCAGCAGATAGTTTAGTAATTATTCTCACATTTTGTCGTGCAGATGTTTTGAATTACTTGCTGTCTTCCATCTACTGTTAACACAGACCGCTGATTGAATCCAGTTAAATCTCTCAACTCTTTGTCTTTGACAATAATCTCTGTGTTTGTGACTCAGTAAAACCAAATCAATAAAAGTGCCTAACATAGAAAACCACATTTTTGTTCCGTGTTTTTGTATTTCCACCATTGTGACTCTTTAGTGATGTTTCCTGAAGCGCCATCATCCGGTCAAGCGTGAACTTTGTATAACAAAATACCTTCAAAGCTAATTGCCTTTACCTTCGGTTACAGCTGAATTTTGGGTTAATTGCTAATTAGCACCATGAACATGAAAACCCTGTTTAATCATCAATATGTTAGCATTGTTAGCAGTCTAGCGCTAGCCGTTAGCTCATACAGCCTTGTGGCCTCAGAGCTGCTAGCATAAGATAAGATTGTCAAGCTCAATTCCAGTACAAATGAGGAATAAGTGCAAATCTATAATCAATCAAACAAGTATAGATTATATAAAGTCTGATTTACAAGTTAATGTTAAGTGTTCAATAGAAGCTGTAATGATTGTCGTCCATGTGAGACGGATTACGGCTGTAGACCCTCTGGTCCTGCTGTGCTTACACACAGGACATTCTGCCAAGTCCGATTAGTTCTGTTCATCTTATGAGAGATTTCTGTCTGTGTGTTTTCTCTCCGGGGTTTGTTTTGTGGTCTGGGCTTTGTAAACACACACTTCTCTTCCCCTGTCAGGGTTTATAGATATTTCAATCAAATTGTCCTACGGTCTGTTGTCTCACGCTGCCAGACAACCGTGAACCAAATCCCCACAAAACACAGATTAAGTTTGTTTTCCCGCACTTTGACATTTGGTCATGAAGGTTTAACGTTACGGGTGGGGGGGGGGAGGAGCGGGGGTTCCGTTGTGCGCTGCTTAACTGTGTGCTTCTAGCTGCACTCTTACTTCCCTTGTGGCAACGTCTCCGTTCATGTGGTTTCACTTTAAGTACAATCAACCCAGGAATGAGAGCGAGTAGCTCTTTGGCGCACGCGGCTCACTTTTATCTTCCCGGCCGTGCCTCTAGTCATTTGTCTGTTGGTCTTTTTTTGTTTTTTTCTCCTATTTACAGGATTTATTTTTCATTGACGCCCTGTGGGACGGGATGCTGAGGTCAGAGGTCAAGGCCGTCTCAATTCAGATGAATTCAAGCCATGCACAGTCGCCGAGACACTCACATTTAAAGTACAGTTGAATTGACCCCCCCCTCCCCCCTCCCACATACCTCTGACCTTTCTGAGTAAGAGTTAATCCATTCCTCACCCCATCCTGTTCACACAAACATACACACCCCCTCTAATTGATACAAGACTTGTCCTGGGTTTGATTTCTTTGGGAAAAGCTGGTTTCAAGCCCTCTTCCTCCTCCCTTCCTCCCCCTCTTCCTCCTCCTCCTCCTCCTCCCTCTGGTTTATGATTCTCTTTTTTGCGGTCCGCACTGAATAAGCTGTTCTCAGCAATTGTGGCAAATACAATTCAATCTGTCGGTAGAGCTCTCTTTAATCTCATTTCCAGGGTCCTAATCAGTCCCACGCATCCACTCGCGGCCCTCTGGTTCGCCATCGTACCTCCTTTCCCGGCCACAGAGGATCCGTCTTTATAAATATTGCTCGTCTCGCGGAGGATCAGAGGCTTTATTTATGTTGGCGTAAGCTCGTGAGCGGTGGACCGGCGGGGGAGGCCGGTCGGGTCGTAGACACACTTCAGATCCTCGCCCACGTCTGCGCTGCTCTTCCTTTTGAGCCGTCACAGACCATCGTTATCTCTTCACACCTCCTCTGCACTCGCTCCCTGGAGGAGGCCCTTGTGTTCATCCTTTCTCTCCTACGCGGCCGGATCGACCTGCTTGGATGCCGACAGGTCGCCTCGGCCCGGTACTCCTCCTCCATCGCACCCCTCACTCACGATGCACACGGCGGTCAAAATATACGCATCACAACCTCGTGTATATATATATCTTTTCTTTTTTTCAATTCTACATATTCCTCCTTCTCTGGGACTGCATTACCCAGCATGCAAGGTGACCGCCAATATTTCTGCCTGTGCGGCGCGTTGTGTTGGTTCAGCTAATGGGGGCTCCAGCTGCTTCCCACAAGCCGAGATGAGGTCTGCATCGTGAACTTGAGCTTCCTTTAAGCTCCACACCTCCAGACTTCTTTCATTTTCATTCTTGTGGTCCGACGCTGCCACGAGTGTCATCTCCTGAAATCGTTCATTGTGTTTTATAGCTCCCTCTGATCCCACCAAAGGCTCCATACGACTTTTTTCCCCCCCACATGTATTCCTCATCACCTGGCACACTCTAGATGCCATTTTCTTTAAATTTTTCAACGGGGCCAGTACTTTTATACCAAAGTACCACCTGACTCAGACTTTATATACGACTGTTCAGTTTGAATTCTCCCCTGAAAATACGCAATTAATCAAATGACCTAAAAGGACGTGGCTGCGGCTGTCGAGTCCTCTATTTTATCTCCCTCCCGCCTCCCTCCCGCCTCCTTCCTTCCTGCTGTTTTACCTGCTGTCTGTCATCCTTCCTTCCTGGTTAATTCCACAGGTCAGGTCAGTCAAGAGGTCTGTTCCACATTTGTCTCCCTGGAGTGATTGCTCACTATTTCTCTGTCACTAATAGGCTGTTACTCCGGCCGGCCGTCTCGTGAGGCTGCACTGGGGGCAGCGAGCGCGAGGCCAGGGGCCCCCTCTCTCTCTCTCTCTCTCTTTTTTTCATTAGTCCCCCGAGGATTTGAACCACCCTTGGCTCCGGGCCGAGACAGGCGAGGCCCCCTTTAATGTTTTTGCAGAGCTCCGGAGCACTTTGTTGCCTCAATAAAGTTCATTTATGGGATAATAAGGCTCTGGAGGACACATGGTGCTGATTTCGAGTCGAATGCTTTCAGCGTGGCTCTCATTGCCAAAAGCTGTCTCTTCTATCCCTTTATCCCGCTGAACTCTTTACCCGCCGTCATTTATTATTCCTCGCTCCAACGTTTTGGCGGAGTCACCGTCTGGGCCGGGGTCGACCTGGGGTTTGCACACCTGGGAATGAGTAGTGGCGAGGACGGCAGGAGGCCCTCTTATTTCCCAGGATTTATTCCAGAGCTCGCAGAGGAAGGGGGGGGGGGCAGTGGGGGTATAGATGAGGGAAGAGAGGCGATCACAGCAATGAAAACCCTCAAGCCCGCGACCCCGGCAGGACGATTAAGCTCTACGTGCACCAGAGTTTCCCCCCCCGGATATTTGCTGTGTTAAAAGTGTTTGACGTACATGTTTGGGAGACGTGCGTTAAACAGATCCTCACACCCGCGGATGTTTTTAAAAAAAAACAACAACACACGGCTACAGATGGATCAGAAACAGGCCCGACCGCAACTCCTCTTCGTCCCTCTGGTTATTGCACATGAGGCTTACATGAGTGTTGCTCATCTTTCCCGTGAAACCCGGTCAGGACATCGTGCACCGCGGTATGCTAAATGGTTTCATCTGAGTTCAATGTTTTTTCTTTTTCCCCTCATTAGTAGTTGGTTAACCTCTAATGCTCAGAGTATCTGCTCAGCTTTTCTTCCTCCCTTCATTGACTTAGCAAGAAACAGATGGGGCCCTAAAAAACCTGCCACATCCCCCCCCCCCCACCCCTCCCTCCCTGCGGGCTGTCATCCTTCCCACCACTTCTTTCACAATAATCCCGTCCTCTGGAACGGAAAATAGCCCCGCTTTTTTGCGTGTCTGCTCGTGGTGCAACACACATGAGATGGTGTGTGTGGTTTGATTGGACGAGGCTTTTTTTTTGGGGGGGGGGGGGGTGGTTCTTGCTGCCTGGAAACATGGCTGAGGCTCCCTGCGGCTGCTTCAATCATCTCGGAGACGTCGGGTTACGGCCGGAGGGTGTCAGCTCCAGCTTGTTAGTGCGGTCTGCCCGATTCCACGATGACGGCCCGGATGAAAAGCTGCGAGCCCGGAGGGCCGACGTCCACGTGTGATGTTGGCGTTTGGGAGCCGCTCCGTTCTCAGTTGTGGTATCTCGGGATGGCGCATTGAAACCGACCACAGACACAAAGGGGGGGGGCTGAGTGACACAGTGAGGACTGACGGGTCCAGGGAATAAAGTGGTGTAGAGGTTTTAGACTTCAACGTTTTTAGTCATTTTATTTTAGTTTGTTTTAGTTAAATATTTTGAAATGCAACTCAATGGAACACCGTGTACATGTTTTGACTAAACCTTGGGTTAAACGTTTTAAGCAGTGATGCTGCTACGCTAAGCTAACCAGCTCCAGCTCTTTACCCCAAACGCACACGTATGAAAGTGCGATTTATACTTATCGTTTCCAAAAAGAGCGCAGTGGGTTTCATGGTGGGAATGTCGCACGGACTGTTTCTAAGCAGGGATGCTAAGCTAATCATTCCCTGGAACCGACTCCATACAGAACGCACACAGAAGACGGCGATTAAGCCCACCGCTTTAGTTTCTTGGATGAACGTGGTAATGCCAGCAGTTGTCTCAGAATAAAGACTGTAAACACGCCGGCTCTGTCCAAAGTCCACTCAGTCCACCTGCAACAACACGCAGTCTATTCCGCCATGTTGTGATGCTTCAACGTCTTGCCTCCGGTTTTCGCACTGAAGATATAAAAACATATAAAAACCACATTAAATTCACAGGAAGAAAACACATGTCTTATAGAGCCATCTATAACTAATGTGAAAATGTCCCGAGTTATTTAAACAAATGATCCTTGTTTGCAGGATGAGAAGTAAAAAGTAAAGAAGTTTGGTGTTCTCGAACACTCTGATTCAAACTCTTTGCTTAATTTGCGGCCTGTTGGCCGACATGAATTAGCTCCCGGCTTTGCTTTGTAGTGGCCTGATGATGATGATGATGAAGTGGTTTCGGTGGGGTTCATTTCCTCGACCAAGCTGGGATTTCAGTAGCGAGGAGGTCAAGAGGTCAAACACTCGAAGCCTCTCTCTCGCCTTTTGGCCCGCCGGTTGGGTTGCTGAGTTATCGCCGGTCGTGGATATTGACTCCGTCTGACTTCAGATCAGCGCCGCAGGAGGCAGCCGGTGGTGGAGAGCGGAAGGAGTCACACGAGGCGGCACCGTCACACCTTC